GTGAGTAGGAAGGAAATCCCACACCATAGGACTTACAGGGATTCTCTTTCAGACAACTCAGAGACTGCTGAAGGTCCTGGGTGTGGGGTGGGGCATGAAGTTATACTCATCCCTCAGGAGTTCTGCATGAAGCATCACCTCCCAAGTAGTTATTGACTAAATGATTCCTTAGATCTGTCAAATGGCAGCTAATATTTCAGGGATGATGAATAAGGAAAATGGGGTGAGGGTATTCCAAATTCTGGAAGTTTCTGGATGGGCCCACAAGTAGCAGAGATTCTTATAGTCCTCAAAGGTGGAATTGCAGAGCCCAAGCATCAATGGATTTTTTTTTTTTTGCTTTTTGGGTCACACCCAGAGATGCACAGAGGTTACTCCTGGCTCATGGACTCGGAAATTACTCCTGGCAGTGCTCGGGGGACCATATGGGATGCTGGGAATCGAACCCAAATTTGCTGCATGCAAGGCAAATGCTCTACCCACTATGCTATCGTTCCAGCCCCTCAACAGATTTTTTTGGAAATCATTCTAATGTTTCTGACATCTGGCAAAGGATTATCAAATCATAGATGTCCTTTCAGAGTGACTGCAGTTGGAGTCACTTATGGTGATCACAATTATGGTGTGGCCAGGCAAAACCATACCGAGTAGAAAGATTGAAAATCATATAGTGATAAAGAACTGGGGTGTGGGTAATACACAGAGGTACTGAACAAAGTTGGCATCAGAGACAATGGGAATAGTTTGTAGTGGGATGAAGGCAGCAGTCACCTATGAGGTTGCTGTGCCACAGGCTGTCAATGGGACTTGGCATGGGTTTCCATCCTCTTCTGTATCGTATCTTCCCAGTATCACTGAGAAGGAAAATTAAAACTATATTTCTGTCTCCTGGGTAATGAATGAAGTTCAATGAATGAGAGACTCTGATGCTCATTTTGAAAGATGGAAGGCTCTCCAGGTAAGAGGGTAGAGAATGGGACCAGCATGGCCATGTGTTGGCAGCAGATGACTTTTCATGTTTCATCGTCTGGTACCAATTTGGTGGGTGTGGAGATGACATCACAGGTATTGGTAGGTGCTATTTCTTGACCCCTGAGGGGTTGTCAGAGGTGTGACCCCCCGAAGCCAAATGTTAGATGACTGCTTATGATGGCCAAGCCTCTAACTTTTCCAGTGAGTTTTTCAGCACCTCACTCTCAATAAAATTCTTCCTACTAGAAAAACCCAGAGTGGAGAGACTGATTAGCTGCTCAGCAATCCCCTTTTCTTTTCTTTTGTGTACCTAGTGAATGTTCTGCTTCCCAACCTCTTTTGCAACTTGGTGTGACCCTATCCTTATGAACTGTGAGCAGGAGTGATTATACCTTCTTTAGACCTGAGCTAAACAACCTTCCATCCAGACTTCCTTGTTTCTTTCCCTTCTACTTTTATGCACTTTGTACAGAAAATAAAGATCTTGGAATCTCTGTGTAGACATAGTGAAGAGCCAAGATGGAATGGAATGGGTCTGGTCTGGGTCCTTGAGTTATTGTTTGGAAGAGAAATTCTCCCCCATCGTGGCAGCACCAGTAAAGACCACCTCTGCTGTGAGGGATGAGGGAGATTCTATAGAAGTAGGATCTCAGGGAATGGTGTAATTCTTTTTCTCACAGACATGAGGGATGGGGGAAAACATAATTGTGCTAAGTCACTGGGATTGTGAGATTTCTATCAGGGCTGTCAGCAGTTCTTGAAAAGAAGCTGTCTCTGACCCTGCACTGTTCTCTGGTAACAGCCACCAAGGTGAAAGACGAAACAAATCACTGATGATACTGACATGAAAACATTATAGGTCACAACCCAAGAACACACATGAATGGGCAGAATCCAATTTAAAAGAGAGAAAATTTTCAGGCTTGTTATGTTTCCTGGGTGGAGGCTCAGAAATCAAATTCCTTTGTCATCACACGCTTCCTAACCTGTTGATAATTCCATTGTCATCCTCCACTTCCCTCTTATACCAAGCTCCAGAAAAACATCAAAAGTCCCCAGACATGACATAAATATTCCACAGATGACCCAAGGTTGGGAAAGTATTCCCACTGGCTCCAAGATGCTCAAGGGTAGCACCCCAAAAGTAACCTCCCCTCTGGAAAGACCAAAGGCTATCTTTCTCCACAGTGGATCTCAATTCCAAAGGCTGTTCCCTTTGAATAGTTTCCAGCAGCAGATGCTGATCTCACAGACAAGCAGGCACAGCCCAAGCTACAGATGTGAGGCTGGCAAGTGAACTGACAACTCAAATAGCATGTCTCATCCACAAGCCAGGCCAGCTGGGCTTTTCTATGGCCTGGGAGCTTGCCTCAGAGATGCGCCTACCTTTGTTTCTGATGTGTCACAATTTACCCTTTTGTTATTCTGGAACATTCTGGAGTGTAGGGGGCTAATCATCCTTCACAGTGTGACATTAGTTTGAAATGATGGAGGGACTCAAGCCCAGAACCTTGCTACATCATCCTGAAGACAGCCACACAGTTGCCCTCAGCCCATCCATTGTCATTTCCTTTAAAAATGGGTCATGAATCAAGAAGAGAGGAAAGGCACTTTTTTTTACAGCAAGCATGCAAACAAACCCTGAAAGATAAAAATATTTTCCTAAAGTAGGGTATGACATACCCATTCATGCTCTGAGAAGACTGATGTGTTTAGATTAGAGCAAAGCAAAGGAGAGAATGTATGCCTTCAATTTGGTCCCATCCAGGAGGTCTGATGAAAGCCAGTATTTGACTTTCAAGGACTCAAAAAAAAAAAAAAAGGAGAAACAGTGTGATTCTGCTGCTCCTGTCAATCTATCATTTTGAGTCATGACATGGAAAACAGCCATTCTGAAGATCAGTGTTAGGGTTACCGATGCAGAGAAGGTTTTCCAGTTCTTGGCAGCTAACTCTTGGCAACTCAGGTCAAAACAGCCCCTGCTTACAGTTGTTACATGCAGTTAGTCTCAGAGGGGAGAAAATGAAAATGTTCACTTTATAAAATTAGCTTTACATCTTGTGGGCATTCCGAAACTGTATCTGCCAAGGAGACAGGCTGAGGGCTAGAAGGGAAACTGGGGACATTTTTTGGAGGGAGGTTGACACTGGTGGTGGTATTTGTGTTGGAAAATTGCATGTCTCAACTATGAATAACTGTGTAAATCCCAGTGCCAAATTTTTTTAAATGACATCTTAATAAAACTGATTTAAATATATATGTACATTTTTCCCAGTAGTGTTAGAGGATGTATCTGGACCACAACTTCCGTTATACAACAGCATTGCAGTAAACCCTGAAACCAACCTGGATCTCACAGGTACCCCATGGGATTTTCTGCTGGCAGCTACTGTAGCTGATAACCCCCTCCTAGGGGAGGATGGCTCTCTGAAGGGAATTTTCAGGCAAAGACTTCTTCGTGGTTTAAACAAGATGCTGATTGTTAGGGTTACCTTAACTTCTTGCCTCCTTTTCTGCTTCTACAGAGGTCATTCCGTGTATTTGGTAGAAACATTCAGCTGGAAAATTGCCTACAGCCAGATTAAATATAACATCACTGTTTTTAACTTATATCTCTCATGGCATACCTGTCTTTATCTTTATATATTCTTACATTTTGAAGGCCATATTTTGTCTCTAGGTTCAGCCTCAAAATATAGATAAAAAAAACTTGTAAAATATACCTTGCTAGGCAGAAATTGCCTCAAAAACTGTGTTGTGAATTAAAAACACAGTATTTCTAAAAAACCAGTTATGCCCATCTAGTCTGTCTATCCTTCTAGTTTTCAGTCACCTGTCCTCTTACACATTCTATTTGGGGAGAACTTGCACATTTCTCTCCCCAATGCAGCTAATTTGCTTTGTTTGCTGTCCAAGACTTCCTGTTTAGGGAGAGTTGGAGACTCGTGACCCATGTTAATACCTCAATTGGAAAAGGAACATAAGTCACACAAATATAGTCTAACATTGGTAATAATCAGATCACTAATGCAAATTAATAAGTACATAAGGTCATATCCCAAAAGAAGAGAGTGCAGTCTCATACAGCAAAAGCTGGCAGAAAGGAAGGATTGAAAAGGGAAATGAAAACTAAGGAGCCATCCTTGACATAAAAAGCTGTCAATATTAACCACTATTAAGTTTAGGAAGCCTGTACATTTTTGTTTGGAAGTGAGTCATTCTCTTTACCTCACAGCAAGACGTAGACTACCCTATTAAGAGATTTTTTTTTTAAAGAATTTAAAACACCATTCCCCTTTTCTGGGGAAAAGATCCCAATATTTGTGCTTGGGATGTGTACCAACACTAGCCAATTTGTAGAAGTCCGTGGTCTCTCTTAAACATGAATTTTTGTTTTCCTCTCTCCTTCCCTCCCTTTATTAACCCAATAAATTTGTTTTACTTTTAAAAAAGAAAAGAATTAAAAACACAAATGAAACAAAATACATCAATTTCTTTCAAAACACATTTAACCATTTATTAAAAGGGGAACACAATATTTAATGAATCAATTTTAGAGATTGACTCGTGGACGTAAAGGAAAATAGAATGAGACCAAGGTGATGTCATTCAGAAGCACAGAAGCATCTACACCTGTAAAATTTCCAAACTTCACTAAGATTTACTGGGTATTTCCAATGTATTCTTTCATCAAGGAAAAAATTCACTTTCTTACACATTTCAGGCTTGAGCAAAGACAAAAATTGCATAAAACCACTGATCTGACTAATACAGGTCTCACTATGCTCCAAGGTTTTTATTATATATAATCACAAGTGTGATCATTTTATCACTGTCATCTTATTTTTCTTATGGTCTCAGATTCATATAAGTAAAAGGGAAAATAACTGCTATCCCATATCTGCCCTTATTAACTGGCTAAGATTTATAAAAAAAAAAAAGGAGGCAGCTAGGTAGATGGTTGGTAAGTATTGTTCTATTCTTCTGAGTGGCATTTGGAAAAAAATGTATGCAGTACAAGTGTTCTACTAATTCTTATATAAGTAGACAATGGGGGGAAAATAAAAAGTAAGCGCCTCATCTGTAGCTCCATCCAGAACTGATTTTCAATGTATAAAACGTATAAAAGTCAATGTATAAAAGTACCTTTCCCCGTAAACCCAGAGTTTTATAGCTATTATACAAACTTGCTAAATTTACTTATCTTCTATATACAAGCCATCATTCCAAGTGCTTGTAAAAAAAAAATACCACCAACAACAATTAAAAATGGAGATGTAGGCTCACAGGAGTTTTAGTTGTTAATCTGCCTAACTAAATCCCAAGTTTCTTTCAGGGAAGATGAGAAGAATTAAAGAAGAAATGGTCAGGTTTCATAGAGAACTGTTCTTTGAGCCCTCTCTCCTGTACAAATAATCCACAGAGCACTCTTTAACTTCCTCAATTCCCACATGCCACTTCACCAAGGACTTTTTTAATTCCTTGCATCATAGCTTACATCATAATCGCCCAACATAGAACAAATGTGTTTCAGTAGTGACATGCATTATAAGAGGTAAATGGCTTGCAAGAACACTTATCAAATTAAGGCAAATAGTCACATTTTCCAGTGTAGTAGAACTATGCTTCCAAATACTGCTATTAAATCAATATACTTCAGGATCCCTTTGAATCTATCTAATGTGTAGATCAAATTCTTCAACAAGTGTCTCATTCTTTAATCACTGTATATCTAAAAATTTTCACGAGGTTCCAGGTCAAAGGTAAGATCAAAATTTAGAAGGTAACCATCATTATAAACATAAAGTTTGCGATCAAAAGGATGATAGTTAATGCTCTGCACATTTTCCATTACCTTTTCCAGCTTAATGCTTAGTTGACCCTCTTTCCCTGTGTTTGTGTCATAGTAGTAGAAAAGTTCATCTATTCTGGTGTTCACAACACGGGTGGCATACAGAGTCCCACATACCATAAAGGCATTTGAAACAGCTGGCTTATACTGTGTGGTATGCCAAGTGTTTAGCACTTGAAGAGTAGTGTCATTGAGTTTACTAATCACTATGGAGCCACCATCATCTTCAGTGGAATAAATCACCCACAATCCAGTCTCATCCACAGCAAAGTCGAAATCTTGCCACCCAACATTAGCATATGAAAAGCGGTTATTGTAGGCCGCATTAGGAAGAGGTTGATTAAGAACAACTGTGTTGCTGGTCAGATTGATGCTAGCAATGTTTCGCGAGCTATACCAGTTGACATACATGGTATTATTGTAAACTACTGCTCCCCCACCTTGACCATAGTTAATCTCATAACTACGGTAGGTTTTGTACAGTAGTAAATCAGAGAAAGTTTCATAGAGTCTGAAATACCGTAGCTGTCTCCCATCTTTTTCCAGAGGTGCCACCCAATATCGCCCTTTATCTGGATTCTGGAGAGAATATTCTCGACCCCAGGCACCATACTTATACGAAAACCCTGCGTAGTTGAGCTTGACTATATGTGGATCGCTGATATTCACCACACCACCATGACTGCAGCTCCCTATAAAAAAGAAAATAAAAGGGAATTCTTAGAAAATCAGTGACAAACTACAAATAATTTACTATTTTTATAACCAAAGTATCTTTTAATACTTTTTTGGTCAAGAAAGATTTAAGGACACCAGTAGTGTTGGCGGAGAATAAAAAAAAAAAAAACCTTCTCAGAGGTCCAGTTGCACAGAAAACTTGCTTTCAGCTCTAGAGAAAACTAACCCTATTTCCATGCATGGGCTTTCATTCTGGGAAATAGACATAATGAAAATTACAAGTCATTTTTAAAAGGTTTAACATCCCAAAAATATTAAAAAGACTTGGTAAAAATTTAAATTCATGTTCTTCAATTTGAAGGCATTTTACAGTATGGTTTTAGTTTTTCTTATAGAGGAATCATGAATGCAAGCTCATCCCATTGCAGAATCATACCCTATTTTTATAAAATCAGGCAATTCACAAGGTTCAGGTAGAATTGTGATGCTGAAAACTCTCCTGGGAAAGTCCTTAAGTCCTTTATCCTTTGATCTTCCATATCAAGACCCCAAAGAAACAGCCACAGCTGGTATCAATGAGGCCTCAGACTAATTTCAGAAGAGTAATTTTTAAATATGTATTTTCAAATTACAAATGATGATCCTAAGAAGATGACATTTCAACTTTGATAAATGATGGAAGTTATTTTAGGGCAATATTTCTTGCTCTGTGCCAAAGCATGACTCATCAAACATCACTTGGTGATCATCATATGACAGTTAGAAGGTGAGTGCTATTGTCCATCGTCTCCTGAACCACTGAACAATATCCAGGTGCTTCATCTTACCCATTATTACACTGTCATTGTCACAATGTGCACTAAAAGGTGGGACCAAATTTACTGGTCCACTGAATCAATGCCGCTTGTAACGTTTGGACATTTGGCTGGGAAATCAGTCCTTCACATTGTGCACCCACCTGAAATGCCTGCCAGTCCAAACCATTTGTGAGCTATAAAGAATAAAATAAAATTCCTCCAGCATTTTTATAACTGTCCAAGAGTTGAATACACATTTTCTGAGATCTTAATAATGGCTTAAAAAAAACCTGGTAAGATCGTTTATTGGGTAACAAAGAAAATTCAACTTCAAGTACATTGAGGTCATTTCCCTTCCTCCTGCAGCCTGCGGCAGAGCAGGTAGGTGATGGAGAGAGGGACAGAATATGACTGCTGGATCCAGCTTTTAAAATGCTTGGAGGGAATCAGGGACCCACGCAGAGCACATGAGTTGAGGTGAGCTGAAGCCAAAATAAAGGTCCAAAGAATTGCCTGAGATTAGCAGCAGGACACAGGACATGTGGAAAGAGGGTAAAAAGCATTTGCCTCTAAGTTTCTAACTATGGCCAACATGGAAAAACCCTTCCTTTCCTGGCTAAATTCCTCCTCTCCCTTCCCCTTCATGCAAGGACTGCTCAGAGGTGAAACCATTACTGAAAATCCTGCCTTTATTTTTCCATTCTGCTGTGGCTTTTTGATTCGAGAATTAAATATGTGCTTCTTAAATGCTTTCATAAATCCACAGTTGGTGGGAAAGTCAGCCAACCATACAACAGGTAGAGAAATGAAACCACTCTGTACCCAACCTCAAATAATTTTGCATATCATTAAGAGAACACAGTTGCGGGTTTATTTTAATAATGCATGCACCATTTCATAAATAAGAAAGCAACGTGTGTTCAGTCAAGAGACTGTTCTCCACTAAAGAAATAATAAATAAAATTATAAATTATTATTTCTTCTCCTAAAAGTGATCTCTCAGATGAATGCTTGTTTGCTTTTGTTTATGAAACAATGCATGAATTATTAAAATAAAGTTAGTGGTGTGTTCTGTTTAATGATAACAAAAATGTATGAGTTTCCATATGCTACAACTGGATTTTCTAGTTAAAATATCTTTCTGTGAATCTATTTATTCAACTACATTTCACTCTCAGGATATAAATGTAAGTCAGGTTTTTTTCTTGCAAGTTAGAAGATGTAAGAACCATTTGCTTAATTGACTGTTGGCCTCCTGGAAGAAAATATTCCAAATCCGAAGAAATAAAACATTTAAGGAAAATTTATGATGAATATAACTAATTAAAGCATAAAATGGGGTTAAAGATAGTAAACTTTTCTCTCTCTTCAATATAAAAATCTTTAGATATGAAGTGAAGTTATCTCTTAAAAATTACTACAACCACTACTACTAAATAATAATGGTTCATCTTTTCATAAGTTGACCAGGAAATTAAGAATTGTATGTTATAGATATTAAAATTTCATGAAATTGTAAGTTGCTTCACCTCCCCAAAACTCCTAAACACTTTCCTGTCCTATTGGTTATCCACTCTTTATCCTCTATCTCTTTGGGATCACTTTTAGGTCCTGGCAATGTTAAAGGAAGTGGAAATAAGGAAAAGAACTAAAAGTCATAAATACTATAGATATGGCTACAGCAGTGACAATCCAATAAAAATGATTATGATGGGATTCTGTGACTCCTGCTGCAAAGCAACAAACATTGACCTCCAGCCTGGTGCCTGCTGCTCATCTAGACCAGCTTAAGTCTCCATCACCCACAACCCATCTACAGTGAGCTTCTCCTCTCCTTCCCTAATCTCTTCTTTGCAGCCTTCAGTTCAAGGTTTCAGAGATACTTCATTTCCTTCCTTACCCATCCCATCCAAACTTTGCTTGACCACGGGGACATCAACTCATTGCCCAGACATGTACCAAAAATTATAAAAAACCAACGAACCCTTTTCCATTTTCTGATTTTAAAAAATGCATATCACAGAACTGAGAGCGAAGGTAAGCTTTTAGCCACTCCACCAACAAGAAAGAATAGATAATTTGGTGTTAATCAGGTTGTGAGTTGTTGGCACTGCCTTGTCATGCCAGGAATCACAGGTGCACCTCTCTATTAGAGCATCAACAGAACACAGCTGCTCTATAAAATAGCGCCAGATTCCAATTCAAATCCTGACTGCAATTCTATGTAAGTTTGTAAGTTACCTAGCATGTTACTGAGTCATTGAATAAATTCTTTAGCCTTCTATGCCTCAGTTTCTTCATGTAAAAGTACTATCTACTTTTCAGGATTATTGGAATAGAAATCAAGTGAATGTAACTCAAAATAGGGTAAATCTGAACATTACAATTACACATTTTATGACATTAGGTGACTTATGTGATTGGCTTATTTCCATACAATGATTTTGGTGCCTCCTGGTAACCCCAGTCATCATGTAGGGCCAGCCACATATTACTACCAAATTATGCTTGTGGAATATAGGAATGAAAGACTAATACTTATTTATAAAACATTAGCCCACTACCTTGCTACATATCTGAATTTTTCAGAGCCACAGAACATAAAGAACCATCCCTGAAAATGTACCACTGATTGGCAGTCTCTTCAACATGCATTTCATTAGATATTGCCATGGTTTTTTGAAAACATCCTGGGAAGTCATGTGGTGAGACTTTAAGAATAATCTAATTTGACTTTTCAAGAATGTCATGGTTATTTTTTAAAGCCAAACATCCTGTGCCTGCAGAGATAAAGTTCTGGGATGAAAATGCACTCTAACCTGGGCAACTACTTTGAGCTTAGAGGAGGATACAATGGACTAGTGAGAATTCAACAATTAAAATGGTTATAATCCCAAAATGAGACTAAATGGAGTCTGAATGAGACACCTCCAACACTGCATTTCTCTAGATGTCAGATCTGTCAGCTCATCCCTTTAGCGTTCCTGTCCTAGCCATTTGCCGAGCACATATTATATGTGAATATAGAGTTGAGCACCTCCAAGTACTATGGTGACTGACCCCTGAGCACTGACTTTTGCCATCAACTTTTGCCTAAATCTAAGTGACTACATAGAAGTACTGGAAATCACTTCTCTCAGGGGAAATTGGGGAGAGGGTTAAGTCACTATTTTTCTAAAGGGAAAACAGCCAGTGATCTCAAGGCCAATTATTTTAGATTAGCAAGCTCTATGAAATGGAGCAGAAAAGGAAGCTATTTGCAGCATAAACCAAATATAAAGCATATTTTATTGAATCCTATCTACACACATTGGTTCTAAGAGCAAGCTGACCACAAGGCTAGCAAGCTGCAGCTGCAAGAGAGGGGCCAAAGAGTTCAGAATTACTTTAGAGCTGAGATTTACACATGGTCATTTTTGTTCTGCAGCGGAAAAAAAAAGCAGACAGGCCAAATTTTAAAGTCCCATAATAGTGAGTAACTTTAATTAAGGCCTCCACAGGCTCACAACTTTGTGGTGCCTGGGGATTTTTCCAATTCTGCATTACCAACCAATCCAAACAGAAAGAGAGCAAGTGAAAGAAATTGATTTAAAAACATGACAAAAAGTCAGTTTAATATAAACATCATAAATATAATATGAACAAAGCTGGAGGAGAGCCAAGTGGTTTGGCAGAGAGCCATATGCAGCCAAGGTTGTGAGAAAGTGAGAGGAAATCTGGGTCCAATTTGCTTAAACAACACAGCTGAGCTAGAAGAGTTCACAAAAGTCTAAGTGTAAAGACCTATGGGAAGGTTCTAGAAAAAAAAATGTCGAACAAAAATAATCCCACAGTCTCTCCTGTTTTCCACCTAAACATTAAGCAGTGAACTTTCTCCCCTTGCTACCCTCCTTGGGTTACTATCACCTGACACATTAAGTCCTGAGAGGACTAGGGAGGAAGGGGCCTGTCACTCGCTTCTTGGGTGACCTCAAAGCAAGCTGCAAGCTCACTGATCAAATCCCCTTTTCTGAAACATGATGGCCCTCAGTGCAGTGACCTGGAATGTTCTTTCCTGTTCTAAACTGTCCTCATTCTTAGGGATGCACAGAAAATGGTGCCAGAAAAATATGTTCCATGAGGCAGATTTACTAAGGGTAAGAAAGAGAAGAAAGTGCTCCAATATTATCCAAGGTTGGCATTGCATCAACTTCCTGCTCTCAAGGGGCCCTCTGCGGCCCAACAGCAAGAATGCTTTGTTCCCAGGAATGTTCACATCTTTAATCCCTGACTGGGTTTAACCTTCACTGGCGACAGAGGACAGAGCATAGCCTTTGCCCTAAGCTGCCTCTGTATGTCACACTACGACAGATCCTCAAGTGCAGAAGCAGGTTAGAGAGTACCCTATACCCCACCAAGAACTATGGTAAGGACTAATTAAAGTCTTAAGATACCAGCCTCCTTGACAAAGATTCAGAAATGCATACATAAAAGAAAATGTTGTGAACAAGAGGAATGAATGGAAATCGTGAGAAGAATGATTTGATGAAAAGGTATAGTCCCACTCAGCCTGAGATGCTCTGGCCCTGCACAGCGCACTTCTTCCTTCAGCCAAGCTGCCTCTGAAACCCCGGGCTGAGCCCTGGGAGAAAACGCTTTCATTCTCCATGAGGGAAAAGTTGCAGGCACTGGTTCTGTTTGCAGCCCAGATTTCACTTTCATAAACATCACTAATACTCCTAACAACTGCTGGTGTGTAGATGAAGATCATAGAGCTCTGCCCTTCCCTGGTCTTGTTTTATTATTCCCCACAGCAACTCCAAGGTGTGGAGAGTTTTGCAGTAAGATGATGGATCTCTCTGCTGTGGTTCCATCACTGGGAAGCTCAGGTCTGCAGTGTCAAAGTCAGGCTTCACATCCCTCCTCTCCAGCGCCCCCATGCATGAGAGTCTCAAAGGGTCACATCTTTGTTATACTTAACCCTGAGTTGCGCACGGTTAGTTGAGAGCACAAAGCTGCCCCTGCCCTCCAAGAACTCCAAGTCCAGAAGGGATGACAAGGCAGACCCATAAGGAAGTTCCCATAGGGTAATCCCTTAATCCTCACTGAATCCTAGCCACTCTAGATAGCAGCTACTCAAGCCTACACTTAAGGAACACATAAGGCAAAAGAAAGTTGGGGTAGGGTGTAGATTAGGGGAGATTCCAGGCATGACCCCAACTCATCGCCAACTGGCCCTTATAATCCATAGGACATGGAAAAATCCACATGGATTCCAGAGGGCTTTTACTCAGCAGCCCCAACCCCAGAGCAACCCTACCACTATAGAGATGTTATTTGCTGGTGAATAAAGACAAAGGGAATGTGGATACTTATGTGAATTTTGTTTTAAACAAACTCATTGTTCATGCTTTTCCTCTATGATTCCCAAAATGTGATGATAGGTAGAGCTTGTGGGAGGAGGGGGAGATATTAAAAAAGCATTGACAAGTAATTCAAAACAGCAAAACTCTCATGCTTCACTTCAACACTGCAGTCACCAAATAACTTCAACACTGCAATTCCCTCAGACCATCCCACTCTGCTCCTCATAGGTCACAGTTCAAGGTATACAAGTAAGGCATGCTGGGACAGATATGGGGCTCAAGTGGTCCCGCACATGCCTTACAAGGGGAGGTCCTGGGTTTGATTTGCATCACACATGCCCTCGTGCTCTGCTGGGGAGAGCCCTGGTGATCTCTGAGTACTGACAGGATATGAGCACTTCCAGGAGCTGTCCCCAAATATATGTATGACATTCTCACCTGGAGGAGGAGGAGGGCGGGGCTGATTAGAAGCAGTTTCATTTCGAGAGGCCTCACATTCCTTTAACTTGTTCTTGAGAGCCAAGATTTCTCGACGAATGGCAAGAACATTGTTTTTGTCTAGCGTCTCAAGCTTCTCTACCAGGAGAGTCATATTCCTTATCTAAGGAAATAAAAATTCAGAGTGACTTTACATTATTGTGCAATTTCTTTCATAAACATTCCGGGGCTGAATTTGTCACTTAGTGAAACATTGCTCAAGAATACACCCGAGATTCTTTTGAATGGTTTCATTTGGAAGAATACATTTTATGGTTTAGCGTGAATGCCTGTCAGATCTCAGGCAGATGTGTGTGACAAGAAGGAAATGGCAAAGATTTTAACTGCCTTAATAATATAGCACAGGCTCGTTCTGAGCATCCACAAATGTCCATTAAAGTTCATTTCTCATAACCTTCCCCTATAAACTTGTGTTTACTCCTGTTGCATTATAATTAAGTTTCTAATGAATAGTGAGGGCTGGAGAAAATTTCAAATTTTAAAACACATAACAAGAATTCTCCATTAAAACCCATGTCATGACTGCTAGTAAAGTTTTTGTCAATATAAATTACCCAACCATGACATTAATGTGATGGTCTTTATCTATAGAGCTTAAAAGGCTTTGCTAAAACATACTCACAAGAAATGCCCTTAAAGAAGATGGCAGGAAAAGTGTTTCAAGAAGAAGCAAGAATTATATGATCATTGAAAAGCAAGTCCAGCCAGGAAAACTGTGACTTTCTAGCTCCATGAAGATAAATCCAGGAAATATCTGATCTAGCTTGGTCAGGGAGCTACTATGAATTTTTTTTTCTTTTCAAGAAAGACTGAAAGATGATTTGTTTATGAGCAAGACTGAACTTTAGAGTCATGAGAGATTACATAATTAGAAGTCAGAAGAGAAAAATTCTTGGGGCCAAAGAAAAAGTATACTGAGTATGATGCTTCTCTTATACATGGCTGACCTAGGTTTGATCCCTAGGATAGTGTATGATCCCCAGAACACCACTAGGAGTGATTCCTGGGTGCAGAGCCAGGAGTAACCCTTGAGTATTGCTAGGTCTGGTTCCCCAAAATTAATATTTTTAAAAAAGAGAGAGGAATTCATATTCTGGTTTGAGTCCTTGCTTATGGAAGATTATTATTAATATAATGAGTAGCACATTTATTCATTACCTCCACTTCGAGTTGGGCAATGATCGTTGAGCTTCCAACAAAAGTGTCCTTCAGCTGTAGGATAAGTTTCTCCATCTCCTTCACTTCTAGCTTAATTAGCTCAAAGTCCAGTTCAGTATAAGAAATCGTATTCTCTTCCATAGCCTCTACTCGTATAGTTAGATTTGAGAGTTTTTTTTCATACACGCTGATTAATTCAACATACTCCTTTACCTGAGGGTTAAAACAGTTCAGGTTAATATTCACAATAATATTTTATAGTCTTCCTCCTCTAACAAACCTTGTGGGCAGTTTGATTGTTATCAGCCTCTTTGATTTCTTTCAGGTGGGAGGTCCAAAGAACTAGATCACAGTCATATTTAACTAGATTTCAATGAATTTATCTACAAACTAAAAAGAACTTACTACTATAATGGTAGGGTAGGGATTTTTTATATCTTAACTAAAAATCATTTTGCTTCAAAAGCATCATTTGCAAATGCAGTTTAATCCCCATTTCCATTTTGAAGATAATATCTCTTTAGAATGAACTGAATTTGACTCAGAAACGTGTGCCTTCATACTGCCCACAAAGTACATGTTCTAAATTAGGTTTTCTAACTTCAGCACTACTGATGTAGTGGGCTAGATAATTCTCTCTTGTTGAGAGGTTAACTTGTGATTGTAGTAGGTTCAGCAGCATCCCTGGTCTACAGATGCCAATAGCACTGACCCACCCACTTGTCACAACCAAAAGTGTCTCCCCAAATTGTATATATTTCCCAGCACAAAATATTTACCACTACCACCATCATTCTTCTATTTAGACTACTGATACCTCTAGAAGGAAAATGGACTTAGTAGATAATCCTCTTTTGCCAGCCATATGCAATAAATTTTGAGTCCCTCTGCCTTTTGCAAAGTGGCATAAAGACCCAACTTGCCACAGCGTGTGAGTGCATGTGCAACTGAAAAGTGTACATTTCATTAAGTGCATCCACATTTATTCCAGGAACTGATTATTGCAATCAGACCTTTAAATTACACATTTATTGCATATATTTGAATGTCTGATCATTAAGTTAAAATACTTCCAAAAATTCCCTCGGTGGTTTAGTGTATAATTGGAATCTCCAAATGGATATTTCAATAAACACAGTTGGTGGTTCTTACTGTATCTGATCTCTAAAAGAAGTGCCATGGCTTTTTAAAAGACCAGCTCATTAAAAGTTGCTGGTTTTATGCTGTTTAAAAAAATTTCTTTGGACAGAAGTGATATTTTTTTCCCAAACTGTGCTAATGTCATGAGCTGATCCATAGTGCCTGATGAATTCAGAGCCAGATGTTGGCCTCTAATCCTTCTAATACCAAAGGCAGCCCTAACTTCTGTCATTTTAGCCCTTCCACTTAACCCCACTGTGAAAATCAGAGAAGACTCTTAGGCTGTAGACCTAAAGGGTTCGGGCTTCAGGCAAAGATGATTTTAATGAAAGTTGAAAATGCAGCCTTTGGCACTGTTAGTGTATCTCCTCAGGCAATTGGTACTCACTGCCATCAGATGTGCCATCACTTGGAAGCTGATAAGGATGGTGATATTTTGATGGATAAAGAAGTTAAATGTTAAATGCACACACATATGTAATTTAAAAATATGTGAAGTACATATAAGTCTTCCTCAAAAGTACAAATACAGATGTAAGGAAGCCAAGTTTCAATTTCTACCAAACCCAGGCATGAAAACTTTGCCTGTGATTAAAAACAACAATAATAAAGTTCCAATCTGCTACAGAAGTGGAAATTTGAAAAATAAAAATTCTTGCTTGTATTTGGCATTGCCAATTCTTGAACAAATAAAGCATTCTGAGTTTTCCTGGAACATTTTGGTGGCACATTGCTGAAGTTGATCTATAAAAATGAGTAATTCAACCTTCATCTCTGCTAAATGTGACTTCCCAAGATAAATGCTGAAAAACCAAGGCATGCAGTATTTGTTACCCTTGGAATAGGTGACGTGCCTGTCCTATTTTAGCCACAACAGGTAAACTCTCTAAAGATATATTTGTGGAAGAATCTGAGATTCTTTTAACTGACATTTAAAGGAAATCACAAAGATGTTCAGAACAACTGGAACAACCCATGGAAATAAGACCAGGCTGAGAGAGCACAAAAAAAGGGTGATGCTTATTCATTCAAGTGGATTGTTAGGTTTAATCTTTCACACATACAGTACTGTAGTACCAGGAATATGCTGAAGTTTTGAAAACAATCTAGCTCTCTCCCTGGAAGTTGCAATTTCAGCAAAGGCTTCAGAATGTGCCTGGAAATGTGTAGTGAGCTGTGGGACTAGAACCAGAGGGTCATACTTTGTGTCGTTGTGGTCTTCATTTCCGCATGTTGAGCTTCAAAACACTCATACATGTTTTGCTTAAAAAACATCTTAATACTCAGAGCTTGTACTCTTTTTGTTTGTTGTGTGTTTATTATGTTACTTATGGAATCGAAGAAACAAAGGGGTGTTTTTTGGGGGGATGGATTTCTGGGGTATGTGTTGTCATGTATAATAAATGTGTTCTTGATATAAATCAGAACACAGTGCAACTTACTATTGAGCTAAATAATTACTCTAGCTCATGTTTCTGCCAGTTCCTCCAAGCTGATATATATTGCCAGATAACTTAAAATAAGCAAGTGTATTTTATAACATATTTAACAACTATGACATTATTTAAACCTATCATTTAAAAATAAATGCAACCATTAATTAATTAATTAAGCTTGAATTGACCATCAAGACAAAACAAAGCTTGAGAGTAGCACCACCTAAGCTCCAATGAGGCATCAGGATTCAGGAAGGCAAATCATTTAATTTCTCTAATTCCTGTGTCCCTTCTCTAAACTTGATGCAATGGTATCAAGCTTATAAGATCATTGTAAACTGGGAATCATGTGTATTAAGGGCCTATGATAATGAATGTCTTCTAAATGACACAGTTATTAAATAAGCAGTGATTTCTGTTTTTTTCTTTTTCAATCTGACCTTTTAATTCATTATAGTTTGCTGTACAAAACATTTCTCAATCAATGTTGTTTGTTTATGGGTTACCTAAATGCCTCCTAGGCTAGCTCAACCTTCTCATGCATAAGGATCTCTTAGCAAATGTGTCATAATAAATAACTTGCCCCAAAGACCCAAAGTCCTCCAGAGGAAAAAAATCCTGAGTTGCCTTTTGTGCCAACCCCTTCCTAAATATAGTCACAAGAAGATGAACAACAGAGGAGTATAAAATATTTTCAGTATCTTATGCAGAGGCAACTCCTAATCTTCATTGTGCACTGACAAATCATGAAATAATGTAAGGTAGTCAAAACCTTTTTTCTGGTGATCTGCCCAAATGAACATTCCCCCAGGCCTCCAGGAATGGCAATAATAATTCATCTGAAATTCAAAAGCCTGGCAACTTAAGAATGGCAATAATAATACACCTGGAATTCAAAAGCCCTCTGCTGATGAGATCACTTTGGATTTGAAGGCATTATTAACCTACTCCTTCTTTTCTTGGGTCTGTACTAGAGGATGGTAACAGTATGGTGTAGAAGAAAGAGACCTGGATGATTCCCAAGACCCAACTTCCTATCCTATCTTAACTAGCCAAGAAGAGCAGTGACCTTGAAGTATATAACCCTCCATGTTATATCCTTCAGTATTCCCAATGCTAAAGAGGGAGCAAAAACACCTAGCCTGGCCTACTAACACCTGGGTTGCTATAAAAGTCATGAAATTTACCTACAAATGTATTGACATGGAGATTATCATACTGAGTGAAGTGATCAGAAGGAAAGGGACATGTATAGAATGACTGCATTCATTTGCAGTATAATATATGTGGGGGTGAAGCAATAGCACAGTGGTAGGGCGTTTGCCTTGAGTGCTGCGGCCTGACTGAGCCAGGTTGGATTCCTCTGCCCCTTTCAGGAGCCTGGCAAGCTATCGAGAGTATCTTGCCCGCACGGCAAAGCCTGGCAAGCTCCCTGTGACGTATTCGATATGCCAAACACAGTAACAAGTCTCACAATGGAGACATTACTGGGCCCGCTTGAGCAAATTGATGAACAATTGGAGGACAGTGCTACAATGCTACATATATATGTAGTAAAAGAAGAATATCTAAGGCCAGGGAAAACAGGGATTAGGAGGATTGGTCAATAGTTGGAACTAACCACAAGTGTGTGTGGGGCTGAGGGTAGGTTAGATAGAGAAGAGACCAGTAAGACAATAATAGCTGGGAATGACCCCTCTGGACAAGATCCGAGGGTTAAAGGTAGGTAAGGGATATTCTGGATAACCTGTCAGTATCAATATTACAAACCACAATGCCCAAAAGCAGAGAGAGAGAAAGAGAGAGAGAGAGAGAGAGAGAGAGAGAGAGAGAGAAGAGAGAGGAGGGGGAGAGAAGAAAGCACCTGCTAAAGAAGCAGGCAAGAGGTGGGGGGTGGAGGCTGATGGGAGGGAACCTGGGGATACTGGTGCTGGGAAATGTATACTAGTGGAGAGATGAGTGTTGGAATACTGTTTGACCAAAATGCAATCATAAATTGTTGTGTAATGCTCTAAAAAATAATTAAAATTTTTTAAAAAGAGTAGGCTAGAATCCCAAAATACTTAGAAAAGCACCAAAAGATATTGTTAATGTTATTGTTTTAACTCACCTGTTACACTGGACCTATTATGCAAATCTCAGTCCAAGTCAATCCTGTTCTGAGGCTTAAGTCACAAATTTTGGTTGGCCTAATTCCTGGACACTTTCAGAACTAAGGTTTCCCACTTACCCTACACTAGTTTTCTGCCAATTTTTAGCAATACAGATGCCACCTGTCTCCACTTACAAGATTGAAATGAAATATCTAATACTGACTCACAAAGCTGGTGAGCTACATACTCTCCCCTGAGCAGTGTGGACTTTTAAACTGCCCTTACACTCCTGACAACATGCAAATCCTAACTTCCACTGTTTCTGAGCAAATGACTCAAACTGAAAAGATCTTTACCTAGGATTTTCCTCCACTTGTTATGTTTTTATGCATAACTCCTTATCTGTACTTGATTATGCTGGAATAAGGCTATGAATATTAATGGCTGGAATTTATAATTTACTGCTGTGCCTTTTCTACTGATTAATTCAAGGACATTTTATTTCTTAAGAAGCTAAGTTCCCAGAGTAGTCAAACACATCTTCCTGGACACTCATTTAAACTTAGAATATTTATCTATCAATTCAGGTTGAAAGCAGTGTCTTCAGTCTCACAATCATTTTTGTCTTAAAGAACAACTAGGCTGGATGTTGAAGTAGCTACATGCAAATTTCTCTAAAAAAAACTTATTTCAAATTGTGTGGTGAAGCCTGAGCTCCTTGTAAATTAATAGAGCTGTATTAAATAATGCATATCATAATAATGCATATATGATTATAACTTGGACTTTACCTGGACATAAAAGAAGAGCCTTTATAATTGATTTTTAACTTGACTAAAAAGGTAGAAAGGAATCAAAACTGGAAAGTGAAATCACATTGCTCCATCAGAGAAAGCAATCCCTGCAAGAAAACTTCCCCTTGTTAGAGGGAAGTTAGAGGTTCAAGTCAGGGTTTCCACCAATTTTCTATTGCCCATTAGTCTTGATTCTACTTCTATGGGAAGTTTTCAATCTTAGTCTAATGCTAAACACTTCTAATATTCATATTTAGATAATAGAGTGAAAACTACCAAGAGATAGTGAAAGAAAGGAGTTCATTGGAAAAAAAGAGAATAAAAAGAAAAGAAAGAAAGGGGGTAGAAAAGAAGGGAATCAGTTAGAAAGTAAAGATAGAAGAGGAGAGGATGAGAGAAGAGAAAAGGGAAAGAGAGAGCAGAAGAGGGGAGAGGGAAGGGGAAGAGTGGGGAGGTAGTGGGGGGAATAGGCAAAAAAAAGAGCTTTCCAAAAATAAGAGATGAGAAGAGAAGAAAAGATGAAGAGGAGGGGTGGGGAAGGAGAGGGATAGTACAGCGGGTAGGGTGTTTGCCTTGCACGTGGCTGACCCAGGTTCGCTTCCCAGCATCACATATGGTCCCCCAAGTACCGCCAAGAGTAATTCCTGAGTCCAGAGCCAGGAGTAACCCCTGTGCAACCCTGAGTGTGACCCAAAAAGCCAAAAAAAAAAAAGAAGAAGACATAAAGAGAAGGAAAATAGATTATAGAGGTGAAGAGAGGATAAAAAAAACCTGGAAGGCGAAGAACATACAAAATGGAAGAAGAAACAGCAAACCAAAATAAAAATGGCAAGATTGGGGTTCACAAGCAGAGAGCTCACGGTTTCTTTTCAGCCTCATAAATCACAATATTGAAATGAGCTTATCCAAGGCATGCTTAATCTCCTTCCATTTTCTTCTTGGATTTTATTTTTTCTGCTATAAAGAGCTCTCTAGGTATACTGTACAATAAATGCCAAAGCCTCTATAGGATGCAGACATGCTGTTTTTGACACAGTGGAGAACGGCTGCTAACAAAAATCCTGAATAAAGTCTTTTGTTTTGTTCTTATCAAGTATTGCTTGAAAAGGGGGTGGGGTGGGGAAGCAAAATAAAATGCTTACTTTAGAAAGCTCCTTCTCGAACTTCACGGTGAGATTGTGAGCTATGATTTCCAAGTATTCCACTCGCTCCACGGGAAATGTACCATCTGGCAGGATAACAGAGCACTGGCAGGTCCCATGCTCATCCAAAGAGCCAGTAAAATTCGAAGACCACTGCAAAGAAAAATAAGTTCTATGTCAGTATTAAATTGGAAAATAATCTTTTGGGCAACTGGAGTGGCAGAGACTGACTTGTCGAAAGAGTTTTCCAAGATGTTCTATTCATTTAAATATAAATACATATAATCTTATTTTAAAAAAAAAAGAAAAAGAAGCTGGAAGCACTATTTTTCATAGACAGTCATTGCATTGAATGTTTACCCATGCCTTCTCCCACCTGTTAGGTGAATTCTTTTATTCCTAAAGGAAGATTCTCCTTTTCTTGAGGGATCTTAAGGACATTGGCACTGCCTTGACATAAAGAGAAGGAAATCCAGAAGTGATGAGCTCTAAACTTGAATTTCAATTCTACCACCTATTGGACATGAACCCTCTTTAAGTCTTTTTCCTCTTCCAGAGTACTTGCAAGGTTGTCCTCAAGACTGAGTAATGGGGCAGGAGAGATAGTACAGATAAGGGGTAAGGCATTTGTCTTGCACGTGTCCCACCTGGCTTCAATCCTTGGAACTCCATACGGTTCCCCAGACACAACCAGGAGTGATTCCTGAGTGCAGAACCAGGAGTAAACCCTGAGAACATCCAGGTATGCCTTCCCTGTTTGCCCCCCCCCACTCCCAAAAAAGATTAATGAGTGGCCAGAAAGAAAACTCAAAAGGCTTTACATATGGGAGCTCTGGTTTGATCCCAACACCACATGGTTCCTCAAGTCTTCCCCTAAGTATCCCCAACAACCAGTGAGTGTGCCCCCCAGAAAAAGATTACTAGTAATATAAACCAAGTCCCTGACCTATGGTAGGTGATGATAAATTCTATTTTCACTTTTTTTCTACTTATTTTCTTTTCCTCATCTGTGCCCTAACCTCAACCCAATAGGAATGAGGAAAACATTAAGGATAAGGATCACAGTGAAAAAATATATAATGCAAACTCACATCCTCTCTTCAACCAGGAAATTATATAATAAACATCCTTCAACATAGAAACAAAGCTCCATTCATTAAAAGCTGAACAGTGTATGAATTTGAAGGTCTTGTGCAAATTTTTTAAAAAGTTTTCCAGCTTAACACTTGCAGAAGAGTCATGTTAAAATGTTTGATGTTTCCTTAAGATATTCAGGCTCACACTTTGATACCACTGCATATTTTAAAATGACAGGATTGAAAGATCCTGTTTTCCTTTCGTCCTTTTTGAACTTCCCCAAGGGGATCTTGGCAAAATTAGCTTTATTAATACCATCATTGTTAATTATTATTATTATTATTATTGCACTTTTGCCTTACAGAGGAACTCTTGGTAGTCGACCAGCTATACCTTTTGATGACCTCATCTGATAAAAAGCCCAAAGTTCACCCACTGAATATCAAACTGAAGGGACATATTTTTGAAAATTCCTAGGAAGAACAATGGCTTACAGAGTCTGAAGAAACAAATGATACTCCACTTAAAGTTCGGGAGAGAGCTGACCGTGGCTGAGGTTGTGTGCTCTGAGCATTACTCTCTGCTAGCCTCCAGACTCCAAACAAGCTAACTCAACATGCTTAGATGATTCCGATCTATTCTGTCAACCAACTCTGAACAATGCAGGCATTTGCAATTAAGTTGCTGGCTAATTTAATCTACATTTCTTTAAAATGAGCATAGACAAACATGTATTTTCCCAAACTCTCTCTTCCAGGTATGCTCTCTTTTTGTTTGTTTTTTTGAAACCACACCTGACAGTGCTCGGGGCTTATCAGAGTTCTGCACTCAGGGGTCACTGCTGGTGAACTTGGGTTACTATGTAGGGTACTGGGGGTAGAACCTGTGCTAAAAAAACACCTTACCCACTGTACTATCTATCTAGCCCCAGTGGAATACCAGATAAATTCTTGACACTGACCTTGATTTTCTTTCCCAACCGCACCCCATACTTATAGAAACTGGGCAGTAAGGAGAAGAAACAAACAGGTTAATATGTTGAACTTGTAGACAACAAAGTGAAAGGGAAGGGTCTTTGCCAGCCATTAATAAGGACTAGACAAGCTATGATGGGAGCCTACTGGAACGGCTGGCTTCCCTTGGAATCAGCTTTATCACTTTCTCTGAAGATAGAGAGAAGCCACGGCTGTACAGGAAAGACCAAAATGTCATAGACTTTTGAGGAAATAGCTTATTATAATAACTAACCAAAAAATCTTGCACTTCATTTTGACAAGAAGAGGTTCGTTATTTGCACAAGACAGGATTGGACCATTCTTAGGGTTCTTAGAAAGGCTTTGTCAACTCAAAAATCAGTGGTGATCAGCAAATAGTATCTAGACAATCAAGTTAAAACCAGAGCTAACAACTTTTAGTCTTGAAGTTCACCTGAAAGGCAGGCAAATAATTATGAGCCCTGTGACAGTCATTCCACCAAATACTATTGAATAGCTGTCCCAGAACTGTGGACTCCCCAGCTTCCCTCCTGCTTATCATCAGTCCAGTGTGCTTGGCTGACATCAAAATGGCCCATAAGTTTGATCAGTGTTTCCCATTAGAGATATTTCTGCTCCTCGCGTTCAAAGACAATGAAGCTAATGGTGATGGGTCTCTCTCCGCACTGACTGCTTAAACTCAATGTGAGCGTAACGGGGGATGAGAGTCAAAGACAAGCGCTTGTTCCCTTAGCTGCTACAAAGATCTGTGATTCCCCCTGGTGGAGAGCAAATTTTTTTTCCCTCCCGTTGATCATCAATTTGCTCGAGCGGGCCCAGTAACGTCTCCATTGGAGACTTTGTTGTTACTGTGTCTGGCATATCAAATACTCTCGGTAGCTTGCAATAAAGCCCCAGATACATGGTCCTGTACCCTACAAGTTGCCCTTCACAGGAGGATTCTCACTCACTCATCACACGATCAATTAACATTTATTGATGTCCGCAATACAGTGTAAACTAAAGGAATGAAAGGAATGGTTCCCAGATCCTGATCAGTTCATCGGGTCTATTGTAATAATAGAAGGCTTGGTGTCCTACATTTTTTTTAAAAAAAAGTTTTAATCTTTAAAAGTTTTTAAAATTGAATCACTGTGAGATACACAGTTACAAATACAAAGTTGTTCGTGATTGAGTTTTAGTCATGCAATGTTCCAAAACCCTTCCCTTCACCAGTGTGTACATTTCCTACATTTCTCACTACCAATGGCCCCCCCCCCCCCCCGTTTCCCTCCTCTGTGGCAGGCCTCTCTCTCTCTCTCAATCTCTCTCTCTCAATCTTTCTCTCTGTCTCTCTCAATCTCTCTCTCAATCTCTCTCTCTCTCTTTCCTCACTCCCCAATTTCCCTACTCTATGGCAGGATCCTCTCTCTCTCTCTCTCTCTCTCTCTCTCATCCCCCCTCTCATTCCAACCTCCCTACATTAAAAGCACATGATTCATGGCTCGGACTTTGCCAGTATCGGGTGGAGCAAAGCATGACACCTTTTCTGCCTATGCAGTGAGGACAGTGAGGGCAGCCTCATCTTTGGAGGGTGACATCCGAGGCCGCAGAGAGCTCTGAGAGCTACAGCAGAAGGTGCGACTCACATTTGTGATTTAAGTTTGTAATTGGCTCTAATTATCAGCCAAGTCTAAGTGCCTGTAAAGATTCAGAGCATAAAATAATGGTACTCAACATTTTCAAAGCACAGAAAATGATACGTTTGGAACTTGCTCAATGACAGTTATAAAGGGGTTTTCCACCACTTTCCAAAGAGCTCATCAAGCTGACAGGCAGCCTTAGAAAATTAGGTTTATAGTGGAAGTGACACCTAGTCTGCTATAAAAATGAAGTTGGAGTTGTGATATTGGCTCACCAGAGGGAGATAAGAAAACCAGGAAGGAAATTAAAACCCCTAAGTACAATTTAACTACCATTCCTTATCTACTTTTAAATATTTATCTTCTTACAAGACAATAGGCATTTTGAATGTCTCTATGTCTTGACCTAAATTTTCTTTTTATATACATAAGGACCACATCAACAGAGCTCAGGGGCCAGTCCTGATAGATCTGAAAGCCGGCGGCCAATGTCCCCAGTTTCCCTCCTTCTATCCCATCTATCTGTATAGTAGGCACCTCCCTCCCTCTCTCTCTCTCTCTCTCTCTCTCTCTCTCTCTCTCTCTCTCTCTCTCTCTCTCTCCTCTACATTAAATAACCCTCTTAGCCAGATTCGGAAAGCCATACTTAGCAGTGCTGGGAAGGAGAGGCACAGTGCTATACCTGGAGATGCTAAAGTGAGGGGCCCCCAGTGGTACCAGGGAGCAAACTCATGGCATTGCCACATGCTAAGCATGTGCTCTACAATTTGAGTCATGTCCCCAGTCCATATATATAAAATAGTATCTTTCTACTTCTCTATCTCTATATGATTGTGTGTATATGTATATGCATATATATATACACAAGCATATCGATTATATGATCTTGTCTGGTTTCTGATTGGTAATGATACTTCAAAATAAATTATTGCTATAAGCCTCATTTGAAAAAAAAAGAAGCTAACAAGTCCTAATTGTTTCCCAGAAATCACTTATTATCATAGTATAAAATAATGCATCTGGCTTCTGACTACAGAGAATGTTTGTGAAGATTCATACCTTCAAAACCACTCTGTTCTTTAAACAAACTATTTTTACCCAACTTCCTGAAAATAAACAGAATGGCAGAGATGGTTAGTACATTTGATGACTGAATTTGAGCTCTATAACTTTCTAGCTTAATGACTTTAAGTCAATGATTCCACTTCTCTAAGCTTGAAAACTGATAATAATATATTATGTACTTAACCTAAACCTGGCATTTATTAGATACTCAATGAGCATCGTTGCTGCTGTTTCTAGCTGGGTTCTAGCCAAACCATTTGTTAATCAACCAACTTTCATTTGCCTCTACAGTCCTGATGGCAAAAAACACCAAGGACTAACCAAAACCTTTTCCTCCTTCCTTCCAGCTGACCCTGTCACTCAGACACATCAAGGTGGCAGCAACCTGACCTGGTCAGTGAAGGTCACAGAAGAACCATTAAAGCCTTTCAGGAGGTGGGATACCCCACCCCCAAGTTACAACTTAGTAGAGAAAGCTGTAGTTCAGGGCTCCTCCAGAAAGGCCCAGAGTTGATGTATTCAATATGAGAAACTGTGTCTAGCCCCTTTTACATCATATTCTGAAGCACTTCTTACCTATTTCCTCAGAATCCAGGTAGACTTATTCCCACCACCGAGGGCACCAGACTCATCCCTAAGGCTAGTGATGGAGACTTGCTGGTCCAGCCTCTTCCAGCCTAGGGATGCTCATTTGTTTCTGTTGTTGTTGTTGGGGGTAAGGTCAGGGGGCTGACAGGGTGATGAAGATGGGTTCAGGTGACAGGGCTATTCCTGTCTCCATTCAGGGATCAGTCCTAGTGGTGGATGGGGACCATATGCAGGAAATGACCTTAATGTATGTGGGGATATAAGGGGAGATAGATTGGGGAGTTTAACCCATACAAGGCAAGTTTCTTACCTCCTCTAGTCTCTGGTCCCTCTGCTGTCATTAATTTTCATTGAAAATTACTCTAAAGACTTCCTTCAAAGAAGACTGAAAGATTCCGCACTCCTCCAGGGGTTACACATTTATCTGTGTATAAACGCACTTTCCTGAAGTCATAGACTCCTGAACATCTGTGACTCACCTCCCTCACAGACAGTGCTCAGAAATCCAGGATCTCACCGGAGCGCTGGGGTCACATCTGATCTGAATAGGCACAAATCAACTGGACAAACTCCCCAGGATCTGCTGCTGGAGAAGTCCTGTCCCTCAAAGTCTCCATGGAGGACTAGAACCCTGACAGCGCTACTTTGTAAACTCCACACAGACCCCTAGAGTCCAGAGTGCAGACCACTTTCAGAACCTCTTTAAAGCCCACCCCCACCCCAACCCCACATACACACTTCAACCCTCAGAGACTGGATGTTTTCTCTCTTGCTAACTATTTGATTATTTCAACAGGGGTTTTAATTCATTTCCTACAGTTAACAAAGAGAGTCATAAATCTTGTAGAGTGCCCATGCCCAGCCACCCATGAAATTATATTCCAGTATGGAAAAGAGCAAGAGGAAGGGATGGAAACCAGCTCTCAGACTCCTCTTAGGTGGAGGGGGAGGGGGGTCCTTCCTTACCTGGGACTCGGAGATGGAGTCAGCCTTAAAGCTGCTTTTTTCAGAAGTGGAGTAGGGGGTGAAGTTGGGCTCAGGGAAGGGAGTGGTGGGAGAAAAGGAGTTGGCACTACGGGTAGAAACCAGGGGTTTCGAATGCCCTGATTTCCCCCTGGCCAGGCCAAGGAGGAATAGAAAGGTCAGCGGGTAGAGGAGGCCTGTCCCCATCTTGTCCTCTGAGCTGGAGCCGCTGACTACAACACAGAGCCCAAGGGCTTCTTATAGGGCCTCACAGGAATTTCCTCAGGGCCAATTTGGGGAAAGCAGGTGACCAACCCAGGAGTGTCACGACCCTCAGGAACCTCCCTCCACAGCTTGTGCAACCTCCACACCTTGATACTGGTGTTGCCCTTGAACCTAGTATCTCCTGCCAAATATTAACTCAACTGTGCTTTCCCAGGTCCAGTGTCTGGTTTCCCACCTGGTACTTCCTTGAAAGAGTTGGACTCAGAGTCTTTGTAAGAGACAAATGGCAGCCGGCGAAAGATAAGTACCTTTCCCCATTTTATTCATCGCTTCCTCTAGAGAATTTCTCTAGAGATGGTGGCTCTCCTGGAGGCGATGTTCTCTTCTGCTGTTTCTTCCCAGGAGGTCCTGACCACACCCTTGCAGGGTCTGATTCAGGACCAAGTTCTCTCAACAATTAGCTCTGAAGAGAGATCTCAGGTGTTTGGTCGCCATGTTCAGCACTCAGTTCAGCACTATCAAGGATACCTCCTCATGGGATTGATGGAGGAGAAAGAACCCCTGCAGGAAGTGCTACAATTCAGTCCACCACAAATATTGTCTTCCAGACAACTCTATCACACCTCCAGGGTTCGGTCCCTCTTGTTAGCTGGCCAGGCCCTCAAATGCTTGAGACTTAATTTCTTATGAAACTGAGAAAAAAAGAACATTCCTCAGGCCCCATCTGCTCTCCTCTTCCATATTGCACATCATCACACCTCTGCTTCCTTTCTGTGAATTCAAAAAGGTGTTGACCTGGATATTCAAAACCACTTACCACTCTCACACAGATGCCGACCTTAGGTAAGTCACTTAGTCCCCTAATGTAACAATTTCTAAACTGCTACAATTAAGTGTGAGATACATGGAAAATTTCTAACAAGCTCTGAAATACTATACTAGTGTTAAAATTTTTAAATGTATATTTTACTGTTTTTTTTTAATTTTCTGAAGGTTGGCATACTATAAAAAATTGTTGAGTTCAAAACATGGATAAAAGGTGAGGGGTATTATGTCTCCACTACAGCAACCTCAGCTACTTTTGAATAATGAGTGTGAAGGTTCTTTTACTTCATGGACCACAATAACTCTCAGAATAAACACTGCACTTTACAAGAAGCAGCCTTTCATCTTTGGTACACTATTCTGATTCTCAGCGGACCACCTGGGCAGGAGGTTTACAGCTGAATGGCTAGAAAGAGAAAGACAGAATGAGGAAGAAGGGAAAAGAAGAATAAAAATTCTTTGTAGTAACCCATGGCCCACTAGGTTGTACCATAGGTCAATACCCACACTGTCCTGCCCCAGAGGACTAAAGGGACCCCCCACTTAGATGGCTCTTCCCCACTTTTCTGCCCACAATGCCACAGCCATCCTGGCTGCCATAGCTGAATAGACTTGCTGAGGCAATGTGTCCTCTCAGGCCAATCTTCTTCCTATGTTCATATAGGTGTAGAAATTAGGGGCAGACACTTAGAAAGGACAGGAACATTTTCTTTCTTATTTTATTTTATTTATATTTTTTGTTTGGGGGCCACAGCTGACTGTGCTATGAGCTTCTGCTGGCTTTCAATTCAGAGATCACTCTTTGTAGACTCTGGAAACCATCAAGGATTCCAGTGTTAGAACCCAGGTTGGCCATGTGCAAGGCAAATGCCCTTTCTGCTGGACAACAGCTCTGAATCAGAACATGGGCATTTTCCCAGAAGCTTTCTAGAAATAACAGCCTCCATGAGCATTATGTTTCAAAGACAATATATGGTAATAAACAAGGTCAAATATGAGAACCCCTGTTCAGAAAAAGAAGCCCTTCCTATTCTAGCCTAGGTAAAGATGTCATCTTGGCAAATAAAAGTAGAGGACACCCATTCCAATGTGAGTTTTAGATTTTTAAAAATGTACCATTTTTAGTATATTTTCCCATAAAATATTTTCAATATATTTGTATTAAAACAAATATGCTATTTATTTACATTCAAACTGAACTAGACATCCTGTAGTTATCCGGAACCACACTTATTGAAAACTGCTGGCTTCCCCTGGGCAGGCCTTCCTGGGGCCGTAAGTAAATGATGATATTCACTGATCCCTGTGGGAAGCAATTCAGCCTTGCCCTCTTCAACTGAATGTTCTAGACATATAAACACTCAGTCCAAGACTTGAAAAGCATAGGGCATATGTGAGAATGAAAACTGGTAGGTTAAATCCATTATCCTGGCTTTAAATGCTATGAATATGGATATAGGCCAGTTTTTCTCTACCTCTCATCACAAATCCCCTCTTCTGATTCCCACCAAAGCAAAGGACAAACTCCCTTCTCATTTGCTAGCAGCCTCTGCCTGGGGCCCTAATGAGATTTCCTTGTCCCTTTTTCAAGGAGCATGTCAGTGGCCTCATCAGAAAAAAAAAATCTGATGCACAACAGGAGTCCGTAGTCATGGCTACCTCCAGGGTCTTCTCTGTCCTATTCTTAGGAGAATCCTTCCTGGGGAGGGTGCTGCATTCTTGTAAGAGTGAGGCAATGATTCTCCCCAAAATAAATGTGCCTTATCAAGAGAAGAACAACCCAGCATGCACTCTCATTCATACAAGCACACAGTGTGCCTAAGCAGTTTTGTTCCTGTGTGGCCTCCATAGTTCGAGAGTGAAACTTTGATCTATTTAGTAGTCACAAACACACAAAAACACTGGTGATGCCTCCATAATGAGATTATTAATAATAATAGTTGGAACAGCTCCTTTGCAAATACTATTGTCCTAAGAAACAAGCTTCCTGGTTCTCTGACAGCCTCAAAGACAAGAGGAAATTATCAGTGTTGAAATGCAAACAGAATATTATTTATAAAAATCTGTTCCAGCACTGGGCTCCCTGTGGAGCAAGAGGTCACTGAAATTCACTTGAGCAATACAGCTTTCCTCTCTGACAGCCTGAAGGAAAGTTACTGTGTATATACTTCATTAAGAGAAATCCCTAACGTTGTACTTCTTCAAGAGTTGCAACATACAGGAAAAATACCCATATAGAGATAGCCTCATTAAAAACCAATGTCTTCTTAATAAAAATAAAGAAAAATAAAAAAATATGCCCTGAAACTTTCAGAAGAGAATATCTGGAGAATATCTGCTGTGTAAAAGAACAACAGAGACAGTGCTTAGTCTACAAACTCGTTCTCAAGGTTGTACTGGGTAAACCGTTTAAGTCTATTGATTCCAGTCCCAACAACTCAAATCCCTAGTAGCAATCTCATTCATCATGTGCAGAAATAATAATCAACTAACATCTTTCATGAATCCTCAAGAGAAACTTAAGAATGTTTATCAGAACCCCCCTGTGCCAAGTACCAGGCCATCGGAAGAGTTAGAAAGAAAGAATAAAGCATTCTTCTTTCTAACAAAAATGTTTAGTCACTTAGGGGAGATACCTTAGAGACCAAACTAGGAATATCCACAACGAATGAAACATAAATGATAACACGTGTCTGGACAAGTTGTACCAGAGTAGAGTTCAGTGAAACAGTCAAATGCATTCATGTGGGGAGAATTTGCAAGTTGGTATGTTAAAACACGTGTTATCATTTATGAAGATAAAGACAAAGGTCCTCTAATTTCAAACCTCTGGCACTTAGTCCTGAGCTTATACACTGTAAAAGGAGTTAATAAATATATGCTCAAGTGAAAAAAGGGAGTAAATAAATAGATTGATTTAGTCAGAAATGTGAAGAAAATGTTTACTTTTATGTGGGAATTCATCCACCTAACAGTAAACCCCAAGAATGGGATATGCCTCAAGGTACAATAGATTAAAGTCTTAGAATGCAAAGGGTTTGCAAAAGTGCACCCAGGAAATAATAGAATAGATAACAGGGCAAGCAAAAATGCACCCAAAAAATAATAGTATAAACAGTTTAGGGTCTTTTAAATGTCTGGTGATTAGCTATGTGAAATACGCCAGTTTCTGATCTTCATGTATCTATTGAATATGCCTTCTAACTGTCCCTAATGTCTCTGTCAACACTGGTTACCATTTGGAAGTCCAGTGGGAGGTGTGGGAGTGATACAGGATTAAATAAATGACTGGTCTGTGAGATCACTGAGGGCTGCCCAGTGACCTAAACCTTGGACAGCCCATGCGTGTTTGCCTATATTCTTATGTCTGCAACCAATCCCCACTGGACACAGGTCAAAGGTGCCAATCTGATTGGCTTTAGACACTATTAGAGAAAATATTAATTTAAAACCTTAGTGTTGGCATAGGGGCAGTGAATTCCAAGCAAGAGAAATTGGGTAAGAAAAAACTTCAGGCAACCTGTAGCATCTCCAGAATGTAACTAAAACCAAATCCCTGCCATCCCATGTGGCCATCCGTAATAACTTATCCTAAAGATGTATTTCAGTCTGACCTCAAAACCCCCAAATAACATTCTAATTCCCTAAACATATATTGTATTAGGAACTACCTAGACTTAGCCACCCCATTAGAGTTTAGAAGATTCAAATGTCAAAATGCAGATTTTCTGAGGGCCAGAGAGAAAGTACAGTATGCAAGACACCACCTGGCAGACGCAGGTTAAATTCCTGGTCTTCTGAACTCCTCGAGGAGTGATCCCTGAGTGCAAAGCCCTGAAAAGAGCCAGGTGTGGCCCCAAGCCAAAACTAAACAAAGACAACAACAACAACAAAGAAAAACCCACCAAATTTTCAAACCAAATACCCATTTTTTTCAACTAGCAGCAAAATCATCAGTGATGACAAAAGCAGAATAAAATAAACATGCAACTAATGGTAACCAGTGTGAACTACTATGTAGACACTGAAAGAAACAACCACAACCTAACTTGAATATAC